GAAGATTTGGGGTTTGAGAAGGGCTGCTCTCTGCTTCCAAGATGCTGCCTCATTGCTGCACCCTTCAGAGATGAAAAGAGTTATATCCTCACACGGCAGAAATGACAAAAGGGCCGAAGTCACATCCCCAAGCTCTTTTACAAGGCATTAATACATTCATGAGGCCTGATTCTTTCACAGCTTCACAGTTTTCCAAAGACCCCACCTCTTAACTACACCATAATGGGGATTTTTCAATGTGAATTTTGGATGGGGCATATTTAAATTATACCAAATAAATACAACAAAACAAACAATGCAACCCAGAGATGAGAGGCCTAGGAACTTTGATTTTTCTAAAGTCAGAGAGTAAACAGAAAGTAAAACATAAAAATAAGAAGGATTAATCTGAGAATAGTAGAAATACATGGGTGTCCTGTTCTATTCACAATCAATAGTATGATAACTTTCAGTGATGTCTCAAAAGATAAAAACTAAAAAGTATCCTTGAGATTTTGTAACTTTAGTCATTCAAAACTTTTTTTTAACATAGTATTAAGATAGTTGGCAAACTGTAGTGCATTAAGGGCAAGAAGGAGAGAAGTAGAGAAAGCCAAATTTTAATGTTAATTTATGTTATCACATTTGCTAGTATTATGTAAATTTTTCTTTCTCTATAGTTTTCAAGCTATAGTAATTAATTGGGAACAGACTACTATGCATAATTTTATCTAGGATTTTCTTTGAATTTCTAAGTAAATTAGATTCTGAAATAGGAATTTTCTCCTGTTTTCAAGGCAAATTAGAGTTATGAGTGCACATTTTAATAGATATAGTCTCACTAACTTAATTTACAACAATTAAAATAATTTAATTCTTTGTGAATGATTGTTATCTACTTCAAATAAAATTTTAGTTTTAAGAATATCCCAAGATTTTCTTTAACAATTCCATTGAGATACAGTAATATACAATAAACTGATCATACATAAAGTGTATAATTTGTTAACTTTTACCAAATGTTTACACATATGAAATTATCCACATAACGAATAGATGCCTTCCTTCCAAAAGGTTTCTATTGTGTGTAATAACTTTCATCTTTATCCTTAGGTGATTGCTGATTTGCTCTTTGAGAGGACAGATTAGTTTATATTTTCAGGAATTTTAAGTACCTGAATGACATCAGCCTTAAAGTATATATTCGTTAAATTTTTAAAAACTTAATAGTCTGTCCATGTTGTGGCTTGTAGCTATAGTTGGTTTCTTTTCATTGAAGAATTGTATTTTGTTTTGTTTTTTATTGATGAATTGCATTTTATTGTGTGGATGAATCACACTTTACCTGTTTGCATATTGATGGTCATTTGGGTTATTCCCAGTTTTTAGTTTTTGGAAATTAAGCTGTTGTAAAAATTTGTGACAAGTCTTTGTGTAGATATATACTTGATGCAAGTGTACTTAAATTATCAAACTATTATATGAGTTCATTAAGTTGTGAAGGCATAAAGAAACAATTAAAATACCATTCCATAGTTATTTGATCAAATTTCTCCAAAATTTTTTCATAAGATTGTATATTGTATATATAGTAGCACAATCGAAGCTTTTTAAGTTTAGTTTCCTCCTCTCTATAATTCATAAATATGTTTTCCCTTATCTGTTATAGAGTCTTTCTGTATCTAAGAAGCTGCCACCCCACAGTACGAAATCCTGGATTTTTTGCTATTCCTTCCTCAATCAGTTTATCTAAATCTAGTGCCTTTTGCTGATGAGTCCTTGTTTGGTTGATCTATAATCTTGTTACTCATATGGGACCTTCCTGCCTTCATAGTTCCAGATACCAATATGTAATCATTTGCTTGCTTAGGTCACCAATGTCTGATAATTTTAGCACAAATCTGCAATTGCTCCCTCACTGTACAAGATTTTATGATCTTAGGTGGGCTTTTGCTACCTGAAAGCTGTGTCCTAAACGCACATCTCTTTTTATTTTAAAATCCTATACTGTATCAGGTTCATATGTTTGAAGTCTTCTCTCTGTGCCATTTAAGCCAATCCAAGTTCTAATGTGTGGATTGATTTGCTCGTTTTCTCTAGAAGACCTGGCTACTCTCTGCTTTTGAAGGACTACAGTATACAGAGCTGCCTCTGCTTTGCAACAAACTTAATTTCCAAGAATTATTATTAAGTCCATTCTTTCTTACATGTAAATCACACCAGGCCTGCTACTGCTGTTGCCATCTGCTGGTGACAGACAAAGTTGACGCATGGTGGTTTTGTTGTCTATTCATATTTAGTCCAGATCTTAAGTTAAAATCTAAAGTAGAAGAATATCTAATTGTTATGTACTTCCAATTTGTACTAGCCCTTGGGATTATGTCCTTCCTTTTATAGGTTCAGCTACACCAGCTTCCTTTCTGTTTGTCCAACATACTTGTCTTCTTTCCACCTTAGGTATGTGGGGTTTGTTGTCCCCTCTTGTTAGAATTTACTCATATAGGTCTTTGAGCAAGCCAATTTCTACAACAATCGCATCTTGGCTGGCTCATGATTACCTTTGAGAATCTTGCCTTTACCACATTATATCCACTCTCACTCATCAGCCATTATCTTACACATGTATTTTTTAGTAGTGTTTATCTTTTAATAAATTTCTTCACTCACATATTCCTTGTTAATTGACCTCCACCTCACACCTGCACATGAAAGGAAGCACCACAGGAGCAAGGAACAAGAAGCTTGAAAGGCAGAACAGAGCTATGCCTGCAGGAAGCAAAGGAGATGCTCAGTAAATATTTGTTGTATACATGAGTGCACAGATTATCTCTCTTTTTAAATTTAAAATTTTTTTATTAATACATGTTAGCAGTTCATAATGATGACATTCATCATGGGAGGTTGGTGCATGTACAGAACACATCTTAATTCTTTTTATTTCCTAGTCCCCTTTCCTCTCTCTTTCTGTCTGTTGAAACCCAGTTTATCTTTTGAAGTCCAATTCAAATAACATCTTTTTCAAGAATCTCCTCAACAAAATTAATTTTTTGGCCCTCCCTTTACAATTTTTATTTTTTACAATCTTTTTTTTGTGTTGTAGCTGCCACACCTTTGTTCTTCATCTAAAATAGAGTAGAACACAGGGGACATAGGAATATTTGACTGATTTAATATATGATATCTGTTGAGGTCAGGAATAAGTAAAAATTAACCTTTCTTTATGACTGGTTACTATTTTATTCTTTTACTTATTATGAAGTATTTAAAGCATACATAGGGGAATAAAAAATAAACTATTACCCATGTACCCATTGCCAACTTTGAAATGACTGCCCTTCATCCCTTTTTTCCCTGAAGCAAACAGAATCATGAATTTAGTCTTCATCGTTGCTCTGATTGTGTGTTTGCATGTGCATTTTATCATGATTAACTGTCTCTGTGTTTGTTCACGTGTGAGTCTCTATTTATCTAGGCCTGACTTCTCTGCCTTTTTGTTAGTCTGCTTGTTGTTATGTAGTATATGGCACGGATCACTTACACCTTACTTCTTTCCTCAGTATTATGTTTCTTAGGTAGTCCATGCTGATATTTGTATCATTAAAATTTAGTGGTGAGATCGCCTAGTTTGATTGCTGTAGAGTATTCCTTATACAACTCTTTCATAGTTTCTTTACCTGTTATCATCCCAAAAAGGGATTTAGTTTTCCCTTTGCACTTTTACAAACAACACTACAATGAGCATTCTTGTGCAATTTTTGTGTGGCACCCTGAGGGGTCATTCCAGGCTTATATTGAGATGTGGAACTTCTGGTCTGGAGACTGTGAACACTATGTCATTATGATTAAGGGAACAGGTACAGGCACCATGTTGCTGGATTCAAATCTGTGTCCTGCTACTTGTTAGCTTTACCAGGAAGCAATAAGCACTAGCTATTTTCAGCCTCTTTTCATGAGCATGCATGCCCCACCTCAACCCCTGGCATCAAGCAGTCGACTTGGCTTAAATCCTCTTGGCTGTGTTAGGTCCTGCAAGAGCCAGTTCCCAGCTGCCACTGCCTGCTTCTGGAGCCAGGACCCAGCAGGCTTGTGGCTTCACATGCAATCACCACTTTGCATTTCTGCACCATTTCTGGTCCATGAAGAGGTTTATTTTTGAGCCTGGAGATGTTTTTTAGTTTTATTTTTAATATTTTATTTGTCATTGCTAGTGTCTGGAGCAGAGGGAATACATCAAAGCATGGATTTTTTTTGTCATCATAACCATAAATTGATAATACCTCTACAATCTTTTAAAATAAGCACCAATTTTAGAATAGCCTAATCATAGATTTTTCAAGAGATAAGGCTGATAACCTTATTTTATAGGTGAGGGAATAGTGGTCTCAAAAAATGAAGTGATTTACTGGTGGCACATATGTAGTTGATGGTGGTACAGCCAGACCAAAGCCCATGGGTTCTCTCTATACTCCTTTTGCCTTTGCATCCACAATCACAGCTAAATTTACACGCAACATTTTAGCTTAAACAGACCTGGAAAAATACGCTAAAATTTCAGCAATGAGAAGAATGACACTACATTTTTATACTAATATAAAATGTATTCTTTTGGAAAATATTGAGGTAAAAGAAAGAATATAGTATTTATTGCACTGAGGTGAGCAGCAAAGTTTCAGTAGAAGGCACAAAGTCTTTGGCTCTGTGGGCTCCTGCTGCATTTGGTTTCCTAGACTTTCTGAAACTTATTAGAATGGGCCCATCAATAATGGTGCTGATATTTCCAGGTGCCTAGAATGCTAGGTCTGAAAATAAACTGTGATGAATGGATCTGAACAGCATTTATAGTGATAGCTTGTATTTCTACAGTTATATAGAAAAGTCAGGTTGTTTAATTTACCCCAAAAAATATTCTAAGAAGGAGCAAGTATCCCTTCTAGTTAGGATTTCTGGACTTTTTTAGATTATGAAATATAGAATCTGGTGTCTTTGTTAAAGTCTTTGGAACTGTTTTATTCTATTTCTAGATCTTTTAGCTGTGCCTAAGCATCCGTATGCTGCTATGGAGAACTGGGGACTAAGTATTTTTGTGGAACAAAGAATACTGCTGGATCCCAGTGTTTCATCTATTTCTTATTTGCTGGATGTCACCATGGTCATTGTTCATGAGATATGTCACCAGGTATGAGAAAAAGGATCAGGTATAAGTATAACGTGCAAAGCATTGAGAATGTAGAATGATTCTGGATACCTAGATTAGGAACTAAATTATCCTCCCTATTAAGTTTTATTTGAAGCACTGTGTAGTTTTTTTTCTGGAAAATACATTATTTTTCTCAGATGACAACACAAACAAAAATGAATGCACAGATCAAATCCAATAAGCAATTGTCATTCAGTTTAGCTGAAATGTGCGATGGCGTGGTGACCTAACAGCCATCCCTTTGGAGCCTATATCTGGTTGCTATTTCTTATCAACCTTGCTTTATTTTCTTGTGATTATTAGTGTGCATATATTGTAAGACTAGTGATAGCAGTGATTTATTGCACTGTTGCAAGATGCAGCTGAATTTTGTGTACGTGTCAAAATTTGCTTTTGCTGAAATCAATTTGCTATTCCCCCTTTCCCATCACATAGAAACTTAGGAAGTCTTTCACTAACTCAGCCATAGACTCTTTGTTCTCAAATGATTGATAATTTTTTCCTTGGCATATTTAGAAATTCATATTTAAATTAACCAATTTTGTGGTAAAGCCATGATACAATTAATTTCACTTTATTTTACATACTTTCTCACAAGGAGTGGAAGGTACCTGAGAGATTTTGCAATGCTTATCTGAAGCTTGATTTTAATGAAAAAACAAAACACTGAAAGTAAATGTTTTTGCTGAGAACTTAATATCTCTCCTGGTTACTAGTAACTATGGATAGTTTTTTACTTGAAACACCTGAAATCTCATTGTGATACACTATAACTTCAATGTATTGCAAACCCAAACCAGTATAGAAGCTGGAAAAACTGAAGAACCAATGATGTGGAAAATGCTGTCAGTGAAAAAAATGGTGAACTGTTAAATAAATGTTAATTACCTAAAATAACTTAAAAGATAAATTGGTCCAAGCTGTATGACCACTTACTAAATGTCAACTTTTTGCAGTGATCCTGTAAGTTACATATACTTGTCATACTGACCAGGTCAGACATGTGTTCCTTACCTCATGAGTCATGGGGATTCCATTACAGATAGAACTGGGCCTCCTCTTCTGTGCTAATGAGAGTGGTTTCCACTTCAACTTTCAACACTTTGAAGCAAAGAAATTTAATTGTTCAATTCTTAAAAATGACAAGTTGGGTGTATAATTCTTTTGAAATGAAAGCAAATTGATAGTGTTACCTTGTTCAGAAAACAATTTCTTTTGTTTTATATTGTAAGGTGCTTTGTGGTAATAGCTTAGTGGTGGCATGTTACTTACTATGAGGGAATTAACCAGAAAGTAGAAGAAATATTTATAACAATTTTCACAATCATCATCACATTCATTTCTGTGCTACTCCCTATCTATCTGTTTTGATGATTCTAAAGACAGTGTGGTTTAAAAACCATGTATTGTTAATAAAGAATAAAAAGATTAAAATATATTTTGTAGTCATCAACATATTCTGAGCTATTTTTTACTTGTACTCAATTACAGATTCCTTGAAATAAATGATATTTTATTGATTTTTAAAAAATTGAGTTACCAAGTTCTTTACTGTGGCTCTTAAAGCTGTTCATGATCTGGTATTTGTCTGGCTTTCTGGATTTTTTCACCCTTCCTTCCTCCTAATCTGCTATATTGCAGCCTTGCAGGTCTTTTTCTTAAGTAGCTGATTCCTATATAGGGTTTTCACACCAAGGGTTACTTACAGCTGCCTGGAATCCTCTTGCCCAAGGCTTTCTTATGGCTGCTTTCTTCCCATCATTTATGTCTAAGCTCAAAATGTCACCTGTGTAGACAAAATATTTTTGCTTTTAACAAACTAAAGCAGTCCATTTCTATCACACTTTCTTAAATCTGAAGTTATGTCATTCATTTGCATATTTAGTTTTACTCTCTACCTCACTCATCTCCTCTGCCTTCACAATAAGTCACTTGCATGAGAAGTGACATTATCAGCTATTCATCATTGAAATCAAGTCTTAAGATAGTTTCTGGCATGTAATGTATGCTTTTAATGAAATAAAAATAAAAAAATTAATATTTTCCTAAGCTAAAAAAGTTTCATAGTAATGCATCATGATTTAATTAAAACACCAATTAAAATTTCATTATTTTTCATGAAGTTATCTTTTGGTTCAGGCCTACATTATCATATGAAGAGTCAGGTGTGGAGGTCCATAAAATCCCTTAGTTGGACCTATTGGTCAGTCTTATCTGAACTGTGTCTGTTGTCGGAAGGTGATGCTTCAGTCCCTGCAGTGGTGAGTTGCTCACTACCTCTCTAGTTAGCATTTTCAAACTGGGCATCTTAGTTGGTTAGAAGGTTTTCTACATTTTCAGCAGACATTTACCAGTCCTGATTTCCATCCAGTATTCCCAATTTGTCCCTCGTAGGACCATCCCCCTCCCCCCGAAAACTCCAAATTTTCCTTCTACATTATGGGCCTCAAATATTTGAAGACACTTATCATCAGTTTTTTTTCTCCTGAGTCCTTTCTTCTCCAAGTTAAATATTTTTGTTGAGTTCCTTGATCTTTTTGTTGTTCTTCCCTGAATGGATTTATAAAAATCTAGTGTCACACAGATAGTCAAATAAATCAATATAGTCTTTCCATGATACATTTTAAAATCACAAAACCAATTGCAAAATGACTTCTAGTTATGATAATCGTAGTTTAGTACATTTAATTTTAGATAGAATTGTTCTGAGATAGATGTGCTTTTATCTGAATCCCATTCTTTTTGTTACTGCAGTGGTTTGGGGACCTTGTGACTCCTGTGTGGTGGGAAGATGTGTGGCTGAAGGAAGGTTTTGCTCACTACTTTGAATTTGTGGGTACAGACTACCTCTACCCTGGCTGGAACATGGTAAGCATGCTTTCCTCTGATCATTTGGAATTCCCAATAAGAGGTTGATCTTGTGCTACACTGGGCTTATCATTAGGGGTGACTGTTTATACATATGTGACTGTTGTCTGTCTAATCGAGAAAAAATAACCAAAATTAAAATGTTAATATTCTAAAAGAGATATCTTTAATTTATTAGGAGCTGAACAGAATCTGACTTGTTATAGATTGACTTCAAAAATGTTACAATTTGTCCAAATGGCAATATTTTGGTTTACAGCATTGTATAATAAAAATATATTATCCTTTAAAATGGAAAAGTCAACAATAATTAATAATTAATATTTTAAATATGCAGGATATTTTGATTATATGGGAAAATGAGAGATTATTGTTTTTTCCAAGAGATAGAGGAAACACACAAACTAAGTAAACCTCTTGATATATTATATATACATACTTATATGTGTGTGTATATATATATATATATATGTATTTTAGGATTAATGACCTAATAAAAAGTCATTAAGATTATTTATGAAGAGTTATATACACTGTGGTTATGTTCCTGGAACATGTATGTACATCTAAACCTGAAGTAGAGCTTATAGTGTTTTAAGGTACTTGCAAAGAAAAAAATGAAGGGAAGGTGTACTTTTAATGTCTTTTTATATCAGTTTTTCATTTTGTAAGGTTTCATTGAACTGTAAGTTGCCATGTATTAAATAGAACCTGGAGTATATGTGCTTTTGGATCTCAAATTTTGAATTTAAGTCATACTATTTAATAAAAACTGATGTATACTAACTTTGAACTTCCAGAAACTCAAATTTCACTTATATAGCATAGATGATTATTTATATGAATCATGTATATTATACATGAATTATATATATACAGACAAATATATATTGGATTTCTTCATGTAGATATGATTAACATATAAAATCCGTATGTATTTAATATATAAAACATGACGAGAGTAAAGGTAAATTTTATACCCCAAACCTCACCACAATCTATGCCATAAGTGTATTTGTCACCTCTGAAAGTTTTCTCCCATCCTCTGTATTTATTATCATTATTATTTTATAATAAGATCATTTAACATTAAATGTAACCTTTTAGAAAATTTAAGTATACAATACATTATCGTAGGCCATAGGTATTATGCTGTACAGTAGATCTCTGGGACTTATACATCTTGCATATTTGAAATTCTGTGTCCTTTGTCTAATAGTTTCTCATTTCCTCCTCCTCCAGCTTCTGGCAACCACCATTCTTATCTCTGTTTCCAAGAATTCAATTATATTAGATTCTTCATATAAGTGAGACTAATATTTATCTTTTTGTATGTGGCTTATTTCATTTAGCATAATGTCCTCTAGGTTCCCTCATGTTGTTGGAAGTGGCAGGATTTGTTTTCTCTTATTCTTAAAGCTAAAGAATATTTTATATATATATATATATACATATATATGTATATATTATATATTCTTTATCCATTAATCATTGGCTTGCTTACATAGTTTCATATATATTTACACTGCTTTTTTACGTTTTAAATCATTAACAATGGTTGATTACTTAATTGTCATCATTCCAAGAATGATTTAAAGAGCTTGTAAACCAAGATGAAATATGAAGTCATCTATAGGTCATCATATAACTTCTCTACCTGAATTCAATTGATTCTTACTGAGTAAACAATGTTAACTTACATCACAGAGAAGAATTTACAATGCTAATACTATGTCAATATGTCTAATATGTGCATGCAGTGTTGCCCATATTTTGAAAAGGCCACATGGTTCATTTATCTGGGTATGTGCATATGTATAATGTACCGAAATTAATTGTTGACATTAAAATTAATTTAAAATAGCTTTAAAGAACTTTGTAAAAACCCATTAATAGCATACATGCAATATTATTTGAAGTATTCTTTAACAAGTGTGAAATTTTAAAACTTAAATGTTTAAGGTTACTGAAATATTCCAAAAGTATCTTCTGATTTTTAGATGACTTTGAACAAACTTTAAAATTTTCATTTAATTTTCATTATGTAGTGGATTATTACTGATTTATAATTTCATTATGTCTCAATATTAAAAGATGTTCTCATTAAAAATGACATGTTACTCATTTAAGTAGGTGTTTTTTAGCTCATGGAGCCTCTTGTGATAGTATTCTTTTTATTCATCATTATGAAAAATATATCTTGCATTAAAAGCGGTCAACAAAATTATACAACAGAATTTTAACTGACTGATTTTAAGTATGGCCATATATCTTCAGCTTCAGTGTCCTTCTACTATCTTTGTCTTTGAATAATTTGTTCATATTTTTAATTCTTTCATCAGTTAAGTTGTAAAGTATGTTCTAGAGAAGAGTTTTACAAATGGTATTGAAATGATCATAGAGTATAAATAACATATCTGAGATTTTTTGTCTTTTAATAGAACACAAACCACGTACTAGAGGTAAAAAAAAGTCATGGGATGATTAAGTTATAAAATTTTATTTATTACTATATATTAAGAAATGGAAATTAATGATGACACAATTACAGTAACACAGAAGGCTTACCCTGTCAAGCTAATAAATGAGAGAATGAATTATATTATGATTAATTAGATAATTAACAGTGAAGAGAAACAATTGTTATTATAGTGTCTACGTTCAGATGGTAAGACTACAAATATTTTCTGATCTTTATCACTTTGCTTTTCACCAGCTTTCTTTAATTTGTGGAATACCTCAATCTACTGTATTCACAAAGCCTATAATGAGGAACTCTGTAAATAAATTGAGTCTCTGAATATCTTTACTATATTCTTTGTAAATAAAAATGTAAGGATAAATTAGCTACACAAATAAGAGAGGATGTCAAGTGACTACAAGGCTGTCCCAGTAGTATTTTTTGTAATAGTATCAGCAAAAGTGTGAAAGAAATAGAATAAAAGTGATGGCTGTTTCAGTAGCAACTCATGCTACTATGATACATACAGAAATTTATCTATGAGTGCATGGCTTGAGTTCATTGTTCCTGAGCCTAAAAAGGGAAAATTAAAAAAAAAAAAATAGGAAAAGTAGAAGTCAGGCTCGTGCCAGGAATAAAGAAATTCAGAAAGTTGACCTCTTTTGCTTCTAATCTCAAAAAGAGTGCTTTTGTCATTTTTAGATACCAGAGCTCAAGTGCTGAAATGTAGTTTCAGTTTGCTAGGGAGATTACTATGACAATCTGCTTTCCATGGAACATCAGTTAAGAAGTCACAAATTATTTGGTATTGTTAGGAAGCTCTTGTTTTGATTCAGTTGAATATACTAACTTTATTTAACTGTTAGTAAAGTGTTAGGCTGTCTGTGTGTGTTGGTTTGTTTTCAGAACTGTTTTCTAATATAGAAGTAATAAGTCTTACATTAGGAATACTATGTGAAATAATTTTTTGATAATATTTTTTGTATTAAAACTAATCAAATTTGCCATTTTATAGATATGAGCTTTACAGGGAGTATGATGTAAGGTAAGAAAAATGGATAGGAAATAAGACATTCATATTCTAAGAAAGCCATTTCACCTCTAACTCATCCTTATTATTTGAAAAATGAGACAATTGTACTGTCTTCCATAATTTTTGTGAGGTCTTTGAAATGCTTGAGCAACTATACAAATATGAGACAGCATCACGGACCTGGAAACTGAGTGCTCCATTACAAAGGTGCATTGATTGTATATATGGATGCTCTAGTAATCTGTTTTGGCACCTTCGATTTATATTGGTTATGTGTAGATTACAAAATAATTTCTATGAATTTTATGTCTACATTTAATCTCACCAAATCAATTTTATCTATAGTGGCAACATAAACTATTCTGTAGGAGCATAGGAATTAAGCGTATGATTTAGATAATGTTTCAATTAACAGACAGAGGTGTCCAGATAATTATAAGCAACTTCCTCAACTTAGAGGTAAGGACACATTTCATGGGATAAGTTGTCTTTTTGCTTAAGGTCATTTTATCAAAGTTGGGTCTTAGTGACAATATTGTAAGATGGATCAAATTCCTGTATAATATTGCTAGCAGTTATTTAAGTTTTGTTATGTTTTCTCAAAAAGGATATAAAGAAAGATCTAACTCAACATATTCTATTCTATTGTTCAACAACTCTTGGTCATTTCCTTTGGGAAAATGTCAATGATAAAATAATTTTAATACAGGAAAAGGATGTATAGTACAATCACGCTGTGAACAACTCATTTATATATATGATGCTGATGCAGGCCAAAACACATCTCCTTGCATATTGTATAGGTTTTAATTACAATGTGTATAGTACATAATGTAGGTGCCGCCTCCAGGCTCTAGAATGTAGGTAGAATTATTAGGAAGTGCTTCTGTAATGAGAATCATTAAACATAAGTATATGTTCTTTTCTTAAAGGAATTACTAATGCTACTGAGCCTCCCATAGCAATAACTTTAAAGTTATAGATTGATAAAGTCTGCAGACAGGGACTTCTCCCCAAAATTTAAAAAGAACACTAGCCACAAAAGAAACTATTAATGGAGAGCCATGTAACTAAACTTCATTATGATAAATACTTACACTATCTAAAAGTGTATTGCCTAAAACTTTAACAAATGTTCTCAATTGTCTATATCATAAGCAGGACTGAAATAGTAAAAATTAGTTCTGCCATTAGAAGAGTATTATAATATGCTTCAACAAAAATTGTTAGACTATAACAGATATTGGAATAAAATCATTGTTATTTTCAAACTATTTCAATTTTTTCCCCAAAAGATTTGAAAAAAGCACTGGCCTACTGAAATATTGAGTCTACTGAGTTCAACTTTTTCTGGCTTAAATTTAAAGTTATATTTCTTGGTTGTTCTAGATCATAATGAACACTGTTATTTAAAGGGAAAAATTAGAAAAGTAGAGAGAAAAGAATTTAGTTTGGCTAATCTTTTACTTAGCTGTTCATTTTTCATCTCTAAGGGAAAATGCTTTC